ACGTTGACTGCTTCTCTTTTTAGGTTGCTGTTGTGGGCCGCTTATATCCTATTCTCAGTTGTTTTACAAACATATCTCCATGCGCGAGATGCGTATGTTAATAACGGTAATATGATTATATTTATTAATATTTTTCATCTCATATACTGATGCCTTTTCTACCTGCTTTTATTAACATACATTTTTAATTTCATCCGTATTTGTGTTCCTATGGCTACTCCTTCATTCTTTTATCGATATTCCCATACCCAAGCCAAAAATATTTTTGTGATAATACAGAAATTGAAACGAGAAAATTCTACAAGAATGTTAATCAGAACAGAAAGGGATTCAAACCTAGTATTAATAGTTAGAAACAGAATTGGAGAGATCATTGGTGATAAGACCACATACTAGAAAGATGGGCAGAAAGTTTCGTAGAGAGACTAAATATAAGAAGTGACATGAGGTTGCAAGAAGCAGAACTCCAGCTCGAAGGCAAGGAAGACGAAAGACAGAAAGATAACATCACAACAGAGGAAGAAGTGGTCAAAGCAATACATAGGTATGCAAGTATAGTAATATACATACATAGCAATACAAGCTATAATGAATATTTTCTAATTCGGACATGCTTTTTAAATTCTATTTATATGTTTTCCTCTCGTTAGGAAATTCATTTGTGATTTTTGCTAATATATTTACTATTTCTTTTCTCATCATCATTTTGGCTTTACAACCCTGTGTGGCTCCTAGCCTCCCCAAGAATTTTTTTCAGTAGTCCCTTTCCATCGCCTTCCTCCGCCAAGCACGTATTTCCATATTTCTCATATCTTGATCTATGTTATCTAGGAATCTTGTTCTGGGTCTTCCTCTTCTTCTTTGACCAATGGGTCTATCAAGGAGCGTTTTTCTAGATGGATCGGTTTGCTCCATCCGCATTACATGGCCTACCCATCTCAAGCATCCTATCTTAATATGTTTTATGATATCTGGTTCGTGGTATATTATATAGAGTTCGAAGTTGTATCGTCTTCTCCAGACACCATTTTCATTTAACGCTCCATAGATTCGCCTTAGTATTTTCTTTCGAAACTTCCTAACATGTTTTTATTGCTTTTTGTTAAAGTCCAGGTTTCTGAACCATATGTTAGGATTGGGCGTATTATTATTTTGTAGAGTTTTACTTTTGTATTTCTTGATATAACTGTAGATTTAAAAAGGAGATTAAGCCCAAAATAACATCTATTACCCGTGAAAATTCTGCGGTAGTGTCATTTTTAGTATTGACGTGTGTTCTCAGGTATACAAGTTCGTCGATGACGTCGTTTTCTATAACAAGTGGCCGTAGTATTTGTGGTTAAGTACCTATTTTCATGTATTTCGTTTTATTGGTATTTATTATTAAACCCTATTTTTGTAGCCGCTTCCTTTAGTGCTACGTACGCCTCTCGTGCTGCGTTTTCAGTTCTCCCAACTATATTGATATCATCAGCATATGCTAGGATTTATACAGATTTGCTATATATTGAACCAGTAGTTGTGATTTGTGATGTACGTATTACTTTTTCCAGAGCTAGATTGAATAGTATATAGGAGAGTGGGTCTCCCTGACGTAGCCCGTTATTTGTTTTAAAAGGTTTAGAGAGTTCCCGCTGGTTTCGAACTCTGCATTCAACTTTTTCAAGGGTTAGTTTGGTTAGACTTACCAAGTGATTTGGTACTCCTAGGTCTATCATTGTTCTATACAATTCTCTTCTATTTACAGAGTCGTAGGCTGCCTTGTAGTCTATAAATATGTGTTGCGTGTCTACACCGTATTCCATTGTTTTCTCTAGAATTTGTCTCAGGGTTGAAATCTGATGAATTGTTGATTTACCACCTCTGAATCCAGCCTGGTTTTGTCCTATTATTCGCTCTATATATGGTGCCATACGATGGCATAGTATATTGGAGAATATTTTATACGCTGCATTCAGGAGCGTAATTCCTCGATGATTAGAGCATTGAAAGATATCTCCCTTTTTGTGTATGGTGCAAAGTATTTCAATATTCCAATCACTGGGAAGGGACTTCTGTATCCATATTTCTTTTATAAGCTGCGGTAGCGCTATTATGATATCGTGGCCACCTTCTTTATATAATTCCGCTGGGAGATTATCTATTTCGGGTGATTTGTTTCTGACTAGTTTGTTTACAGCGTTTTTTACTTCCAGGATCGTTGGTGGATCCTCCTTCCTCTATATTAAGTATCTGGTTAAAATATTCCGTTCATCGATTTAGTACGTCTGTTCTTGTTGTTAATAGATCGCCATTCAAACTTCTACATCTACATCTGTTGATGTTAACTATCTTATAGAATGTTCTGAATTATTTCTCTCTGTTGAGGTTTTTTATATATTGAAGTTGCTTTTTTAAGTGGTTTCGTTTCTTCATTCTGTGTATTCCTCTTCTAGTCTTTGAAATTCTTCGTATGCAACGTATTGGATGAATATTCTGCTGTGACCGTGTTGGTTCTTCTTCTCTTGTAGCAATTATTTTGAATTGTGTTACATTTTGACAAGTCTCTTTATTTAAAATCTCAAATTTTCCCCAGTTTAATTTTAGATACATTTTCCTAATAATACTTTTTCACTGCCAGTATATTTCTTATTATTATAGTATAAACCTATTTATAAAGACTGACAAGTATTATATATAGACATGGATATAGTCATCAATTTGGTTCTACTAGAACTTGTTTGATAATCCAAAATTAAACTGTTAAAAAATGTTAAAATCATACTCATTGCGCTTTGCTCCTGTTTGCTAGCACACCAACCACTTCGTCATCTTTGCTTCTTCTGACTGTTCCTCTGTATCCATAGGACACGCCTGTCCTTACACAGTTTGTTTATGTTAATTTAAAGCTGATCACGTGTAAAGTCTAGTCGCGTAATGATAAAATTATTATTTGCTATATTTTTATCATGTTTTATTGATAAAATCCGGCTAGTTCAAACTGATCTTTAAGGATTGTAGCCTTAACACAGACTAGGATAGTGATTAAATATTTTTTTATTTCTACTTGTACTTTGCTCTGTTTATTATTTTTAACTTTAATAATTGATATTAAAAGTCGATTTAAACACATCAGTCACGTCTCGTCACAGTCCCGGCGCCGAACGGAACAATCCGTCACACAAAATATTCTTTAATAGAAATATACCGCCGGCATTCACATTCATCAGTTGACGAACAGTTTTCCAGCAGTCAGGTTTCGACACGTCTATCGCCCGGCCGATTTTACATGACGGGCGGTACAAGTGAACAAAATAAAATTATTGACGAACAATAGAATGTTTAAAAAAGTATAATGATTTATATTCCTTATCCGAGAAACTTTCGATCTTTTCGAGTGTGTGCGAATAGTCGAACGAATAGTTCTGTGACCAGAAGGGACCGGTTCGGCGCCGGGACTGTGACGGGACTGATGTGTTTGAATCGACCTTAAGCCGTATTTGAAAAAAGCAAATTTTAAATGTTTATGTGGTTAATACATTACTTTTATGTTTAATCTTAAGTTTATTGTTTTAACTTTTTAGATAATAGTACATCAATATTTGAGACACACAATGATTGCATGTAGAAATTTTGTGGTGTATTATAATGTCTAAATATAAAATATATATCAGAAATAAATTCCTGTTTTTTTAATAATAATGAGTTACTTCAATTGATAGTCTTCTTAAGAAATCACATCTGAAGGTTTAAAGATAAGCCATTTCATTTGGTATTGAAATGACACTAGAAATACTTGCACCAATTGCCCCCATTGCCCAACTGGTTCTGGAAGACTTAGAAGAATCTGTCATGAGTCATTTAGATTTTAATGTACCATTCTTCTACCGCTATATCGATGACTGTATCTGTGCTATTCCAAGAAATAAAACAACCGAAATTTTAGATATTTTCAACAGTTACCTTTCAAAATTAAATTTCACTATAGAAGTTAAACAAAATAATAAAATAAATTTTCTGGATATCACCTTACATCGCATTAACAATAAAGTTAAAACCATGTGTTTTACAAAAGAAACGATATCCTAACTACAATTCCCATCATCCATTTTTCCAAAATAAGTCTGTAATTATAAGTCCCGCTGATAAATCTACAAAACTAACAGATCCAGAAAACTGCAATAAAAAGAAAAAGAATGCAAGCCTTCTAAAGAATGCATATCTCGAACATCTAATCGACACTATTTTCAAATCTAGACTCAATAAATTGTATAACAATACAACTAATAACAAACCCAACAGTATATTATGGCTTATCCTTTTAAACTAACAAATCTTTTAGCCAAACATAATATAACAGTAGTCCACAAAGACAACAACCTATTAAATAAATATTTCACAAAACTAAAAACACAAACTCCAAAACTTAAAAAACCACATGTTGTTTACGAGATACCATGTATTAACTGTGAAGGTGACCATATCGGTCAAACCAGTCAACTGCTTCAATCCAGAATTTGTTCTCACAAATATGACAAGAACAACGTCGCTGCGCTCACAAAACATGAAAGTGGAAAGAAGCATAAATTTGATTTTAAAACATCAAAATTTTGAAAACCGAACAAAACAAAAAGAAGAAGGAGATATACGAATCAATAGAAATAAAAAGAAATACCAACGCAATAAATTACAAAAAAGATACACAAAACCTAAATAAAATATATTTTAATCTGGTTTAAACAATAATAATATAACATCATAAAAAACTCTTAAAGTCATAACATATCTCCACCTTACCTTTTTCGAAAACATCAATAATAGGCCCATATAAAAATAATTATATACTAATGACAGTAAACAATTAGATATTAGATATCAACTTTTATTTGTCAGTTCGTTAATGTCTGTGTCCCGTTTTACATTTTGGTAACTCTTATTCATGTATTAAATTTCACCTTCTTTTTTTTTTAGGAAAGTGAGTATTTTTACTAATATATAGCTAAACTGTTTAATTTTTAGATTTCTGTGTTACTGCTTTTGCTGAGACAGTGATACCTGATGACTCTAAAGATAAATATCAGGTAGCCTACAAGAAGTTCACGGATTGGCAAAAAGAAAAAAACTATGAAGAGATTAATGAAGAAGTACTTCGGGCATATTTTGATGAATTTTTAAAAAAGTGCCAAATCCCGACGGTGTGGAAGCAATATTCTATCCTATGCACAGCGCTGAATACTTATAAAGGAATGAATATAATCAATTATATGGGTTTAAAGAAATTTTTAACGGAAAAATATCAACGCTATAAAATATCAAGGGTACCAAATCCAAAATGCAAGGTATTCACTTCAGATGAAATAAACAAGTTTATTAAAGAAGCACCCGACTCCGATTATCTCCTTGCAAAGGTATACTTTGTGCTTATTTTTGTTTTGTTATATTATAGATTATATTATTCCATTTAAACTTTCCAGTACTGAATCTTTGGAATATATTTTATTCCACAATAACTGTCGGATCGAAAATTAAGTTTATTAGAGTTTTAACAACAATATTAATTATCCAACTTAAAGGTAGTAGTTCCGCCGTTATTAGGTGTTCATGACAGTGTTGTCAACCATACTATAATTATAGTATACATACTATAATTACAGTTCTTTTTACTATATACTATCATATCTTTGGGATGTCATGTACTTCAGGCATACGACCCTGCCCATGTGAGCCATAAGTATCTTCCAATCTGCTGGTACCTAAGAGAAATTATGTCCTAAACCCATTCTTAAACCTAATTACCAAAGTTTCTATTCCCATATCGTACTCTGATGTCGGGCAACAGCAACATTAGTACCAACATGGAGCGTAAAAGAAATGATCTTGGATCGATCTATTATTGGATATTCTTCTTTTGGTGCCTAGGCGATCATTGTGGCTATAATTATTTTATAAACTAATGCTTTAAATATATTAGTTGTTCTAGTGTAGAACCGTTTTCTTAGGTTTTTTAACAATGTTATTCTTCTTCTCCCAATTCTTCGCTTTCCGAATACTTTTTCTTGGAGGATTATTTTCAGTAATCTGTATTAAGTGCCGTTTCTCATTATGTGTCCGAGATATTTTAACTCTCCTTTTAATCGTATACACCACTTCTCTTCCTTCCTTCATTCTTCGTAATACAGCCTCGTTGGTTATCTTGTCCATTCGTGATATCCTTAGGATACTTAATTGGATTGGATAAGAAATGGATAGTAAAGGTATTACATTAACCGAACGATTACCGGTATAAATAATCCCCTACTTCCCCTACGTCAACGGCTACCGGATAGAAGAACCGATACGTTGTAGGGACTTCATTGCCCTGGAGCTGAGAAATTAACTCCAAAGGTAAAGGAGCTAAATTAATCAACGGTATTCAGATGAAAAACACCACAGGATGACCAGCAGATTAAAAATCTGCATAGATATCGTTAGTAAAAATCATTATTGACCCACTAGTCAATAATGATCATGAAGCTCGAAATCCAAGACTTAGCATGATAAAATTAGGGCATAGATTTGAAGAGGAAAGATAAAAGTTTTTCTTTCTATAGCAATGTCTATCAAATTAAATATCTTATCAATTCAATTGTCAAAAAAGATTATTTTAACTTTAAAAAATGCACCCTATTGTATAAATTCACCCTTTTCTCAAAAATTCACCCCTTTCTCAAAAACTCATCCCTTTTTCATATTTTGGGATCCATTGACGATACGAAAAAATAAGACCTCTTTAACGTTGTAGATCCTTTCTAAAGTACATAATCAATAGCCTAGTATGTTTTAGACCACAGTACTTACAGATCATGCTAATTATCACTTCAGATTAGTTCAAAGTTTGTAACAATAAATGGACCTAAATGGAAAGTGAGGCTGTCCAGACGTTGGGTATAATTTTAGTAACATAAAAATTGGCTAAAGGTGGAAGTTAAGTCTTGTAACTGAAAGAAAAATTAAGAATTCCTGGCTCAAGTACGTTCACTTTGCAAACCGACACTTTTGTGTTTTGAAGGACACAACGACTAGCTTTGCGAGTTTTATATCAAACATGGGGGATAATAAGATAAATAAATTAAAAATTCAAACATGCCAACTGAAAGAGAAGTAGACAGAATTTGGTACTAACTGAAAAGGAAAAAATAAAGAGTACCACCTTATCGTTTTTGGAGCGATAAGGAAAACTCGATATTTTACATGCGAGAAGATTGGTTTAGGACAGATACAAAAATGAGAAATATGCTAAACCTCTCTATAAAAACAAATATGCATGCATATTTAAAAAAATAAGAAACAATCACACTTAGCTTATATGGTCGTTCGACATTCATGTCAGAATCATTTTGTTATTTTGCAACTAGAAGGAAAATTGTGAGAAGATTCCGAAAGAAGAACAATACAAATAGACTCTTAAGTTGGTTCTATAAAGGTCTAAATTTTAAATACAAAAATATAGGAACTATATTTGTATTAATTGGCCGTTCTACTTTCCGTGTTGTTTAATTTGTTTGTATCGCCCAAGTGTCTTTGACGATGGTGGGATAGGCCGAATGATCATAACACTTTAGTGATACCGATTCGAGCACGGGAAGTTTAACGAATTTGTCCTCTTAGGCCATATATTTGGCCAATTTAATACAACAAAGCGATAGCAGCTTTTTGCTAAAAGATTTATTCTTTACATATATATATATATATATATATATATTTATATATATATATATATATATTATATATATATATATATATAATATCCCTTTCATTGACTGGTCACTATGAAGTTTCGATTACTAGAGCCTATCCTTTAAAACCTATGGCATGAAATTTTAGTTTTAAGTTTTGACAACAAATGTGAGGCATTTGAAATATGCTTAAGAAACACTGGATTTAAACTTCCACACAACAAAGATCCAAAACATTTAAAACATTTTTTTTTCAATTACACTACTACGTTTTTGGAAAGAACAAAACTTCTGCAATAAACTACAACCAAAATCGTCTTCTTAAATATACTTCCCGAGACGTGTGATTGGTTGTAATGTAAACAATAAATTCTGCGTTTTTAAGTATATTTCAAATGACTCACATTCGTTACCACAACTCAAAATTAAAATGTCATGTCATAGGATTTAAAGATTGGTCTCTAAAAATGGAAATTTTACTACAACTGGTCAATGAAAGTGATCAATTTTATTGATCTCACGAGAATCGTAAAAAATTGCAAAAATGGCGCCACGTTTCAAACGCATCGTCGATAGGACATTTAGATAAAAAGATATCGAATGATTGATACACATTTTACATCAAAACATTGATTTTGCGCAAATAATTGACATGCAAAATCGACGGTCGCTTCAAGCGTTGTTTCTGAGGGAACGGTTCATTCTATACAAAAAATGATTATAAACATTTTTGTTTAAAATTATCTCAGCTACATCTTTTATTTAAAACATTTTATTCTACGGCGTACAGATCCAAGTCCAAGTATAAGATGTGTTTGACCTCACGTTTGAGGAATTCATACGTGCCTATGGAGGTACCGGTAAAGCAAGAGATGGTGTTACCACTGAAGAAAGGGAAGATCTACACTTGTGCTTCCTGATGACTACTCACTGGCCCTTACCATCCCGATTTCCGTAAATAGATTTCTTTTGTGAGAGGAGTTTTAGGGGGAAGCCCCGGGGGTAAAAGTGGTAAACTTTTGCATCTTTATTGGGGCCACAAGATTAATATTCTCTGTAAAATTCAGCTTCTTCGTATGATTTTTAGGGGTCAAGTCTCTGACACTGCCTGTGGTCATTGCGGGGTGGATTGAATAGCTCTGCGGTTACCACAGCCGGTCCCAAGCTCGGATAAAATGTGGAGGGTGATTGGCAATGTTAGCAACCTACCAATCGTAAAAACAAATTCTGCTTAAAGAAACAATCTACAGCCTCGGAACCGGATTGATACTATGAAGACGACTACGGCAAGAAATTAGGACAAGCGAAAAACATCCAAAAGCCAGATGAGAATTACTGCTTGGATTATCAGATCATTCAACTCAAGGGACCAAGAAATAACCCAACTGTTGAAAGAGAAAGAAATAGACATTTGTGCTCTACAAACACAAAGAAGAAAGGAAAGAAACAAAAAGAAAGGAAAAGGTCAATCAAAATTAGGTGAATACATACTAATCTACAGTGGAGTAGCAAAATAAAACAGGCCAAAGAAGGTGTAGCCTTACTAATACACCAAAGGTACCAAAAGCACATCAAAGAGTGTCAATACATATCAGAAAGCATAGTAACAGCAAAGATAAAAATGGGGAAGGAAGACCTGAACATCATCGGAGTATACGGCCCAGAAAATAATAAGCCTCAAACAACAAGGCATTTTACGACCAATTACACTAAGTCGTAGATCAAGTCAGAGGAAAGGTGATAATATTAGGGGATTTTAACGCTCGAATAGGCAACCAAGTAATACCCGGCATCAAACAAAAACATAACGAGAATGTTAAAAATGAAACTGGAGAACTGATGATCTCTGTAGGAATAATGAACTAAGAATAAACAACACTTTTTGACCACAAAGACCAACACAAATATATATTTAATAACACCCGTGGACAAAGATCTATGATAGATTATATTATAACCAACAGAGATATACATCCATCAAAAATAATCGACGTAAACTGCCTCAACTCAGCAGATGTAAGTAGCGACCACAGTATTATGTAAAATAAGAATAATCCTGAAATTATCTTCCCACCTAAGAGAGCGGCGCCAACACAAACAAAAATCAAAGTCGAAGGACTATGGGATACGGAATCGACGGAATACTTATACAGGAAAGAATATCAGAGAAGATCGCTGTTAATGAAATACTAGAAAACGATAACATCGAGGAAAGCTGGGAAAAACTCAAAAATAATTTAATTAACGCAGCCACAGAATCACTTGGAGAGAGGAAAGTAACAAACACTAACATATCAAAAAAGAAAACACCATGGTTTAGAGATGAAGTGAAAACAAAATGTGAAGAAAAGAAGGAAGCCTTTTTACAATACAGAACACAACAAACACAATAAGCATACAACCACTATAAACGAATCAGAAATGAAACGAATACTTTAGTTGAACCGCCAACACCAGAGGTGACGAAAAACGAAGAAATAAGTATTGAGGAGAAAGAGGTAAAGGAAGCATTAAGGAAATTAAAAAATAGAAAATCACCAGAAGAGGACAGAATACCGAACGAACTGCTAAAGTACGGAGGACCAGATCTGACCAAACAACTATTAAAACTAATTCCAAAATAATATAACAAAACAGAATTCCTCAAGAATGGAGATAAAGCATCCTAATACCTCTCTTCAAAAAGGGAGACAAATCTGATCCGGAAAATTACGGAGGAATTATTTTATTAAACACAACACTAAAATCAACAACCAAAGTGATAAATAAATTTAATGAAATTATAACACTAGCAGAAGAACAACAAGGTTTTAGGTTGAGAAGATCATGCACCGAAGCTATATTTATAATGAGGCAAGTGCAAGAGAAATCATTAGAATACAACAAACCGACATATCTATGTTTCGTGGACCTTACAAAGGCATTTGACCTGGTCAAATTAAAAGACGTTATCCACTTACTGTATTCAAGAGAAATACCTCTCGGTATAATTAAAACGATCGAAAATATCTACCAAAACAACACAATAAAAGTAAAAGTAGAAGAAGATCTAACCGACCTTATTAAAGCTGGTAATTCGATAAGACAGAGAGATTCCCTGAGTCATCTATTGTTCAACCTGATTATGGATAAAATAATAAAAAAAGTAAGAACAAAAAAAGTATACCAAATGGGAGAAAAACAACTTAAAATAATCTGCTATGCAGACGACGCAATACCACTCTCTCAAAGTGAACATGATTTACAATATATGCTACACCAATTTAATATAACCTTCAGAAAATTTAACATGTTAATTTCCCCAACACAGACAAAATGCATAATTACAACAGCAAATTTAACAAGATGTAAATTGGAGCTGGAAGGTCAGATAATAAAACAAGTGATGGAGTTTAAATATTTAGGCATCACATTATCTACCTACGGAAAGCTGAAAACCGTAGTGGAAGATTAAGTGAATTGAGCAAACAGAGCCGCAGGCTGCCTAAATGAAACAATATCGGGAAAGAAACGAAAGGCAGAATTTACAAAACAGTCATCAGACCAATAATGACATACGCGGCAGAAACAAGACCTGATACAGCGAGGACAAAAAGGATGTTAGAAACAGCAGAGATGAAAACACTTGGAAAAATTGATGGTAAGACACTATGGGACAGAGCTAGAAGTACAGATATAGGACATAGATGCAAGGTGAAGAACATTAAAAACTGGGTAAGAAATAGAAGAGTAGAATGGAACGTTCATAGAAGTGGAATGACAACAAATACGTATACAGTAAAGACGGGAAGAGAAGGTTCCCCAATAGGAATAAGATCAGTAGGAAGACCACGAAAACGATGTAATGACAACATACTGGAGGCACATTGAAAAACAGAGTTATGTCTATATAAAAAGAAGAAGAAGGTCTCTGACGACTGGACTAAATTTAGGTACCTGTAATCGGCGTATATGTGTATACGTGAATGTTTATGTGTATTAGAGAGAAGGAGAGAGACTTTCAGTTTACATTTTCTCCAATTTCAACATTGTGTAGGTATATGGTTTTAGGGAGTAATGTTTTTGTTAACACATCTTCTTCTTCATCCACCAACATTTACGATCAAATTGTCGCTCCACCTTTTTTAGGGTCAGCCTGTACTTCTACGTCCCGTTGGCGATTTATTTCGAATAATTCTCATCCTTCTTCTTTTTTTCTTTCATTATGTTAATATGTTCATTCGACTTCTTTATCCTGTTAAGTTTTCAACCATTAATATCTTCTATCCCACGTGTATTTCTTATATTTTCGCTTTTTTCTCTGTCTAGTCGAGTCGTTTCAGCCATGCCATGAAGTAGTAAGTATTTCTGTTGTTTCAACCAATCTCTTGATTTTATATTGTTTCTAGTCTAGTTTCTGCGGTGGATGTTATTATAGGTCTTGTAGCAGCTTGTTCTCGACTTAAAGTTTATGGAATGTTTTTGTTAAAGGAATGTTTTTGGTTATGCCATACTGTTTTTTTTTTTTTTTCATAAATAATTACTAACAAATACTACGTATTCCTAATGAAAACGTAGCATTTGTAAATTATGCACGCCTTTATTATGGGTCTCAGCAATAACTGTTCAGAGAATTTACTCTATCTTATTTTTAAAATACTGTTCAAGTCTAAGTCTAAGTAGAATAACAAGATTTGTTTTAGGTAATCTTGATAGTGAGTGTTATGTGTGATTGCCCTAAAGAACAACTATATAATATGAGAATCCAGTATTTTAAAGACATGGGATCTTCAATTTCGGTTGAAATCCCGAGCCAAAAAAAAGGATCTCCTCAAATTTTTACGATGGGTGGTCAGTTCTATGAGATTTTGAAAAAGTACATTTACCTTCGACCAAAAAACGTCTGCCACTCTGCATTTTTTCTATGTTATGGAAAAGGAAAATGCCTTAATAGAAAGGTAGGAATTGATAAATTTGGTAGCATGGGAAAATATATAGCTACCTGGTTAAATCTGGAAAATCCGGAACTGTATACCGGTTTTTCGTTCAGAAAATTGGCTAAGTCAGCTTCTACAATAAAAATTTTACAGAAAAAGAAAATTGTATAGAATAATAGTATTTTGAAGAGTTTCAAAACATAATATAAGTTTATAGAGATTATGTTAGGTTAGGTTATGTTAGGTTAGGTTATGTTAGGCTAGGTTTGGCCAGGTTATATTTTTTTTTCTTTAAAAAAAACTGTAGGTTAGGTTTGATTCGATTTTAATAATAAACATTGTAATAATGATAAAGTTGTAATAAAAAGAAAAGTCCCAATCTCACCAAATTATTTTTTATTTTAATCATAACTTAACCAGTAGTTTAAATGGTGATAGGATATTCATGATATAAACTGGCATTGTATTATTACTGATATTTTATGTTTAAAACCATCAATGTAAAAAAATTGAATAAAATTATATTAGGTTCAACGATCTTTGTATTATTAAGGACCGAAGAGGCCCAGTTTCATTATGTCCTTGGTTCATTCACATTCAACTTGGTTCTTACGTTTGTCTATCGGATAAAGAGTATTTTGAAGTGGGTATTTTGATTATTCCTATATATTTTATTTTAAAATATTTGTTATTTTTTTTTTGTACAGTATTGGCAAAATTTTATCTTTTCTGACCTTCCTGTATCTTTTTTTGCAGGATATTTTTGACAACATATTACAAAAATTATGTTACCATATATCTTAAAAAAACTGAGTAGGTACCTTATTTCAGTTAGGTACTTAAAAAATAAATATTGTGATAATTACTGCCGTAATTAACGATATTCATAGTTTAGAGCATATTAGTCCGGGTGAACTGACTATAAAAATATTCTTATTCTATATTTTTGCACACTTACTTGAAATAGTTCCCTTATAACAAAAAGATTTTTTTAGAAATAAGTTTCTTATTTTAATTGAATCATTTGAAGCAAAAAAGGAACTTTTTTCTAAAATGTATCGTTTTCGAATTATAATTAGTTAATATTATATTATATAATTATAATTAGTTATAATTAGTCTGAAAAAGTGCGAAATAGCCTTTTTAAAGACTTATTATTAGTGAAAAATTAGTCAAGTTTAGCAATTTTTTTTTTTTTTATTTCAAATTACATGTCTCGGCTACTGCGGCCATTGACACGAGAAACTGTATTACAGAATAACAATAAAGTTACATTGATTCAATAAATTTCAATACACATGATATCAAAAAAAAATAAAGAAAAAACTAGCGGATGATTACAAAATTTAAATATAGATAGATGATACAATTACAACAGGTGATATAATTTACAGTTTTTAAGGAACTCTATAACATTAGACATATTGTTTTTAGAATTTAAACTATCACATACACTTCCGTGGATACCATGTTTGATCCGTGCTGCTGCGTACTGGTTACATTCCACAAGTATATGGGAGTATACTTAAACGGGAGTTGCAATATTGGCAGTTTGGAGGTTCTTCGGGAACCATCAGATATCCATGGGTTAGCCGGGTGTGCCCAATTCTAAGCCTTCTAATGATGGTCTTCGATTTTCTTTCCATTGTAACAATTTAAGGTCCTAATATGTTTGGTTGGATAGACTTTAGTTGGGTAGTGCACCTGTTCCATTGATTTTGCCACATTGAGGTAGATAAACTTTTAATTTCAATTATTATGTCTTGAAACATTTGGACTTTTTCATCCGTAAGGACAGAGCGACGTGCTTCATTTGCTGCGTGGTCAGCATTCTCATTTCCTTTAATACCAACATGTGAAGGATTCCATATCATCGAAACCCAAATGTTTGATTTAGCAAGTGCTGTACATCTTTCGTGGATCCCATTAACTAAAGGGTTTGATGTGTAGATTTTTCTAATCGAATTTATGGATGATAATGAATCTGTGCAGATTGCTAAGTTTTTAGTACCCTGCACTGGAACCTCTAGAGCTTTAAATATAGCGTAGAGTTCTGCTGTGAATATGACATGACAATTTGTGGATGTAACAGCACATCCGACACTTTCTTCGTCTTTAGATGCATCTGTAAATATTATGTTATCAAACTTGCCTCTATTAATTATGTCGTTAAAAGTTTGTTTCATGAGTATCGTGGGGGTTTCCATTTTCTTATATCTGCACAGATTTACGTTAAAGTCAGGTAATATTTTTAGCCAAGGTGGAGTATTGGGCTGAATAATGGGGGTGGTGAGATTTAGGTCAATATTTTCTAAGAGGGGCAATAGAAACTGTAGTGATGAATTGGCAGTAGCTCTACTGTGTGCTCCTGTTAATTGAAAATTTTTTAATAAGTTGGAAAGATATATTATTAGGGTTTGCAGAAACCTTAGCAAAATAGGAATTTAATAGAATGGAGTTGTCTTCTAATACTTAGTGGGGGTTCACACGATTCGACATATATGCTTTCTGTAGGGCTAGATCTGAAGGCTCCAAGACATATTCTTAATGAAGTGTTTTGAATTGTATCTAGTGATTTTAAATAAGTTTTAGGGGCAGACATATACAGTATAGATCCGTAGTCTAACTTAGGATAACAACCTAATATCATTACTATTTATTGTAAGCAACACTTTAACTGGCATGTAGGAGAAAGGGAATATTTAAAAGATACCCAAACAGAAAATTATTACTCCTGATCAAGAAATGGTTCGCGTTGACGATGATTCTCAAGTAAATACCTACACGACGTTTATTTTCAGCGTTAGGAATCAGCAAAACTTCAGTTTTAAAAATCCTATACAATCCTACACTTTCTTACCTGGACAAAATCTATTACCAGCTAATTTTGTGGAAGTTTTGAAAACAAAGTTTTTAGTGTTTTATTGTTACATGAATTGTTTTAAAGTTATAAGCAGGGAAATTAGAAAAAAATCGATGATTTTAGTGATTTTTAAATATTCTAATATTTTTATTAATATTCCCAACCTATTTGAGAGGGACGATTATTATTATTATTACTGAAGTTATCATACAACTTTTTCAGCGAATGCCACCTCTAACAATAAAATTTAGTCGTTTTTACTAGCATAATTACTATACTCTGTTTTTTAACCAGGAGGAGTAAACCAAAAAGACAGATTCACACTCAAGAAAGTTACTAGAAAAGTCACCAAATACATGTTCTTTTTTGTTGATTATCTCGGCCTTGCGGTAATCGAGTAATCAATATTGGACAACCTCACACGTCAATTTTAACCTAACTTTGTTTATTTATGTTTTAGTAATAAAATAATTTTTTTCAATTCACTTTCAATATATATATATATATATATATATTATATATATATATATATATATATATATATATATATATTACAATAAAAAAGGACTTTTTCACATCTGGTCCCATGTATATATATTTAAATATCGGGTGATCCAATTTTATAGATCTCTTACGTCTATGGTATTTAATTATAATTTAGAGAATATTTTCATCGGGAGAGTCAACTATGTTACAGATCTAAGTATGGTTTTTATTAGAAATTTGTCTTTTCATAGTAGACCATATTCTTATTCTGGTATGATCAATTTCTTGAATCTAGTTTTTTTTCTTACCAGATACTTTGTATAAATAAGTGTGTACTTACAATTTCTTTAATGCTGGATTCTTGTTTAATTTTAACAGTAAGTTTGTCCCATTTGTTATCAACAAATAAAATTTACTAAAAACACAACTACAATTACAACCAGGAAGAACAAAACCAACTGTATTATACAATCAAACAAAAACACAACATTACTTTACTAATGTTCTTTTATTGTAATGAAAACAAAATGAAAATGCTTCTTAACAAGTATACACTAAATTTAAAAGATAGTTGCCGTTTTTCTTATCATAATTAGATATAAATAACAAACTTTTATAAATATCATCTAGAAACATAAAACACTTTAAACTATATTTAGTATAAATATCATCTAGAAAAATATCACATTAAATACTATTCGCATATCACCAAGTCCAAGTTATTACAAACAACTTAAAGAGTCATAAATCGATTTATATATTAGAGGAAAATAATAATAATAAACAAATTTCACAAATGTCATTAGTTTCAATATGTCATAATTTAGTGGAGTAAACTTGCCTGCGTTTGGACCAATTGCAAACAACCATTACGGCGCGGAAAATTTGAATTACTCCTCCTGGTTAAAAAACAGACCATAGTGAAAAGTGTTAATAGTGATTTTTTTTCTTTTTTATCTGTTTTATTCGTAGGTAATGGCGAAGAATAATTAATCTAATTAATATTTTATTTTAGCTTCTACACTGTGCTTCAAATATTACTTTTCTAATGTGATCTTTTTGCTTAAACAGTCAAAAATGCGATATTTTAAAAGTAAATACAAGGGTTTTAAATTTTAAAAATAACTAAAAAAAAACATTGTATTAAGATTTTTTTTGTGTGTGTTTTGGATTGGACAATTGTCATTCAGCCAGTCTCAATCAAGATAAGTTTATTAATGTAGTGAGTGTGTGTGTTTGTGTGTGTAGAGTAATTGTCTTGATACTTAGCAAAGTCGACGTCATTGTCTTTGCTAAGAGACGCTAATTGTATCCGAACGTCTGCGGTCCCTCTGGTGAGTACCGATCACACAAGGATAGAAATTATTTTCATTTATTAATTTTTTTAATAAACGAAAATTTCCACCCAGGTGAGATTCGAACTCACGACCTTTAGGTTTAAAGGCAGGCGCTCTTACCACTGAGCCACAGAGGGGGTTATTGTATTAAGATATATTCATTAATTACTGTTATAATACAGTTTCGCTAACGAAAATTTAGAAAAAATATAATAGAGATATATTTTCGATCAATTTAAAGTAGTTTACCCATAGACTAGAGTATAAAACATGTGTTCCCATCAACTGATGGCAATAGTTGCAAATAGCAAAATGTTTTTGTTATAATTATTATAATAAATTATTTTTTAGTTCGTGCTTACCACTACGACGAAATTAATAATCTCTACATATGCCTTCAATGCAACAAGACCTACAAGTATCAAAGGAACGCAGTAGCTCATCTCAAGTATGAATGTAATAAACCAAAAAACTTTAAATGCGAATTATGTGATCGGACCTTTTCGCAACAGAGGTACTTACGATATCACAAGCTGACGTGCTCGTATAGTTTATAT